GAAATTGGATGTACTTGATGTGGCTTGCAATGAGGTTTCAGAGGTAAAGGAAGTTTTTAGTGTTTTTGCCAAGGATATACAGCAGGTTGCTTCCACACTGTCATTCTCTGAAGTTCTGCCTGTGCATAACACTCAGAATGACAGGCAGATGCGTATTAGGGACTTTAACTTGTGGCTTGGTGAATAGTGTCGGGAGCAAGGATTTGGCTTTATTTCTCATGGTAGCTCTATTTGGAATAGAAATTAACTGTATAAAAAAAGATGGTTTGCATCTTTCTCACAAAGGAAAGAATGTTCTCAGTGAGCAGTTCAGAGGTTTTTCTAGGATGTATTTATACTAAGAGGGGGGGGGGCAGGGCAAAAGAGGAATAAAACAATCCAATTGCTCCCCAAAACAAGGACAGAAGGTGCAGCAAGTGTGCTAAAAAAAATATAAGCTTAGAGTCATGTCTACAAATGCTTGCAGTTTAGGGAATAAGATCCATGAACTTGTGGCAATAATGGCAACTGAGAATGTAGATTTGGTCACTGTTACTGAGACATGGTATAATGAGAAAAATAACTGGGACATGGCAATACCAGGGTACTCTTTATATAGAAAAGACAGGGAAGGCAAGAAAGGGGGAGGGGTGGCCCTGTATGTGAAGGATAGCATAAAATCTAGCCTAATAAAAGTTAGTGAGACAAACATAGAGTCCGTTTGGGTTACATTAGAATTTGGTAATCACACAGTAACTCGTGTAGGTGTGATTTATAGGCCCCCATGACAAATTGAAGAGTTAGATAATCTACTAGTTGAGGAAATAGCTAAAATGACAATGAAGGGGGAAGTTATCATGGGTGACTAATCTTACTGATGTGAACTGGAAAACAAAAAAAAAAGCTGCTTGTGCCAGGAGCCCACATTCTAAACTCCCTACTGGGATTGTCTCTAAAACAAGTTGTTGAGGAACCAACTTGTAAAGAGGCCATACTATATTTAGTGTTAAGATTTGGTATCAGATTACTGTAGGTGAAAGTTTAGGATCCAG